AATGGATAATAATGTGACCACATATTGGAAGAGAGAAGTCATGTTGAGTCAAAAAGCAAACATTGTTTTTAATCAAGGTGCATGTCTATATCTTCACTGGCATTAAATCATAATCCAAATATCTAGTAACATTAAGTCAACAAAACCAAGATATTGATAGTTAATACAAAGTTGGACTCCATACATATGGTTTTAAGGAATTTTTCTTTTTCTTTTTTTTGTTTGCTGCTGTGTCATTAAATACTCTTGTCTGTACTACTAGCTATAAAACAGTTTATATTATTAAAAAAACAGAAGCAAGATATTGGGTCTAAAAGTATAGCTACCAAATTTTATCAAGGTCTCCACAGACTAACAATCAACTGAACAGATCTTTGCCTATACTAGGAGTGAGTAAAACTGAGGAGCTTCACCTGCTCTAGCTGCACACCCTTCCAGGGTAGACATCATGAAAGACTGTCACTTCTGCAATCTGGGAATGGGCAAATGGTGTTTCTCAGTGATTTTCCTTTCAAGTTCTTTCTATGTGTCCACCATATTTATTCCATCAATCACTGCCTGTTTGTGCAAGAGAGCAAGCTCAGCCCTTTTAAAGTTCCCCATGAACTTTCATCATTTTAAACCTACTGGCATAAAACCAAGCAGGGCAGTGCACTCCTATAATCCTGAATCTCAGGAAGTTGAGGCAGAAAGATCATGAGTTCAAGATCAGTTTGTGTTCTCTAGTGAAACCCTATCTCTAAAACACCAAGAGCTGAGAATGTAGTTCAACAGTGGAGCATTTGCCTAGAATGTGCAAGGCCCTGTGTTTGATCCTCAGCATTATAATCAATCAGTAAATCATTCAATCAATCACTCAATCAATCAACAGAAAAATAAATCAGAGTACAGAGCCAATGCTCAAATCTTGATTAAATTAGGGCTACTATATGCTTTTAAGTACTAACTTAAATTTAACTTTGTGTAAAACAATTCCCAGCATACCTGTGCCTTTCTCAGTCACTTGACTGACTGCTAAGTCTTTCCACATTACTTTAAGTATATGTTTATAATATTTAGTAATTACTTTATTAGTGCTCACTGTATCATTTCCCTTTGCATCCTGTGATCCTTTAAAGTAAAGATTTTCCCATAAAAACTGACAGATTGGTGGAGGACAAGGCTCAACTAGTAGAGTACCTGTCTTACAAGTGCAAGGCCCTTCACTGTATTTGATTCCGGTACCCTGCATCTTGTATATACATTTTTCTAATTTGGGGAGGGGGAGGGAAATAACAAAATGCTTAAATAAGGATACAGGTTGACCCATTGTAACAATGAGATGTACAAGACACTAGACTGTAAACAAACTTTACAACTTTGGTATGGGGAGGTGGGGGAGGAGAGGGATGGCAGAGGAAAAACACAGGAGGTAACAATGCTGGATAGGAAATGTACTCATTACCTTACTCATGTAACTGTAACCCCTTTGTACAGTATTTTTACAATAAAATACATATAAAAAAAGTGCAAGGCCCTAAATTGAAACTCTAGTACGAGAGAGAGAGAGAAACAGAGAGACAGAGATGGAAAGAGTAATTTAGACAATAATTCATATTTAATGATTATAAAGTATCCATCTATTCAGAATAAAAATCTAACTCTTTTTTTTTAATTATGGACAGGGAACTGGGAATGTGGCTTAGAGATAGAATGCTTGCCTCTCATGCATGAAGCCCTGGGTTCAATTCCCTAGTACTACATACACAGAAAAAGCCGGAAGGGCGCTGTGGCTCAAGTGGTAGAACTCTAGCCTAGAGCAAAAAGAAGCTCAGGGGCAGTGCCCAGGCCCTGAATTCAAGCTCCAGGACTGGAAAAAAAAATTATGGATAGTGTCACAGCAAGAATTACTGTGGAACAGTAATTAAATATGAACAAATGGGCTGGGAAGGTGGCTCAGTGGTAGAGTGCTTGCCTCGAATGCATGAGGCCCTGAGTTCAATTCCTCAGCAACACATAAGCAGAAAAAGCCGTAAGTGGCACTGTGGCTCAAGTGGTAGAGCACTAGCCTTGAGCTGAAGAGCTGAGGGGCAGCACCCAGGCCCAGAGTTCAAGCCCCACAACCGACAAAAAAAAAGAACAAAATAGATTACTCATTCTATGATTAGTTACCTTTCTACATGTTCAAGTAAAGAACATGGAGGCTGCGTTAACTTAAACTGACATCCTATGTAATACTGTCTCAATAATGTGCATCTTTCACATGAATACTTTGTTTATCTGTTTATGAGCCAGTCCTAGGACTTGAACTGGGCATTGTCCCTGAGCCTTTTTGCTCAAGACTAGCACTCTACAACTTGAGCGACAGCTCTACTTCTGGCTTTTTGCTAGTTAATTGGTATAAAAGTCTTTCCTACCCAGACTGGCTTCTAACCTTAATCCTCAGATCTCAGCCTCCTGAGTAGCTTAGATCAAAAGCTTGAGCCACCAGCACCTGGCCTGTTTATTCATTTTAATCAGGCAATAGATACTCTGCCCTTCTGTTGTGTTTACTCAGGTTGCTAAGATAATGCTGGGGAAGTGGAACATGAAGTTCTATTCTGATTGAACGCGATTAAAAGTAAATAATGAGTAACAAAAGAATATAGATGCTCTTATTTCATTTTTCCCAACAATTGTTCATAAAGTTATTATTTATCACAAATATTATAACTAGTTTTAAAATCTGGTCTTTAAAAGTTGAGCTCCCAGAATTTTCTAAAGTTATTCATTTTATTAATACTGTTTAATAAATTATTCGGGCATATATGTTTTCAAAACTAAAATTCAAGTTAAGACAGAGCCAATTCTTGACATTTCACATGAGAGACTCACTAATCAAGAAGAAAGCAAAAGCAAAAAAGTCTATAAGCCAATATTCAATCTTCTACATGCAGAAAAGTTCTGGTATGGAACTTGAAAATACATGAAGCAGGTAGTGAAGCACAATTTCCTGGAGAGGGATGGAAACAGAGCAGGGCTTGAATATTCAGCCTCACAGATACTTTCACAAATGTCCTTTCTACAAGCCAGCCCATGCAGCTCTCTGCTATTGCAGAACAGGGCAGCTGCCTTGGGGATCTGTCCTGGGAACAGTGCCATTCTGCATTCGTATTCATTATGTGGTGGAGGAAGGTGAGCTATAAGCAGACACATCCTCATTGAAGTTTACTACAGATAGTGATGGGAGTTGAAGGGTTCAGAAGAAAATGGATTTGAACAACATGAAGGAAAGGTAAGGAAGCCCAAGTACAATTGCAAGGCTGTACAAACAAGTGAGCCAGCTCAACAAGTGCCTTTCTTTTTTCTTCTTTTTTTTTTTGTCTGGTCGTGGGCCTGAACTCTGAGCCTGGGCGCTGTCCCTCAGCTCTTCAGCTCAAGGCTAGCGCTCTACCACTTGAGCCACAGCACCACTTCTGGCTTTTTTTCTTCCTGCTTATGTGGTGCTAAGGAATCGAACCCAGGGTCTCGAGCATGCAAGGCAAGTGCTCTACCACTGAGCCACCTTCCCAGCCCAACAAATGCCTTTCTTTTTACTTAAGCTTGTAGTCATTAAGTGTATAGGTTGCTTAGGCAACCTTGACAGCTGGACCCAGCCTCTGTATTCTGAATTTCCACAAGAAAAACAAATTTCCAGTCATCAGTTATTAAAGATGATTTAGGGGCTGGGAAGGTGGCTCAGTGGTAGAGTGCTTGCCTTGCATGCATGAGGCCCTGGGTTCGATTCCTCAGTACCACATAAGCAGAAAAACAAATACCCAAAAAAAAGATGATTTAGTGCAGGAGATAAGAAGGTGAGCTATAAAGACGTCAACTATACAAATTTAAGTCTTGGTTCTACTGCTAACCCTGAAGTTGAAAGAATTTGAATCTGTATGTCTCTATTTCTCTTATTGGGCACAATTAAAGTGTGTAGTCACATTACTGTGAGAATCAAATGAGATAATGTATGTAACAGGCTTAGACTACTACCTAGTATCATAGGTAAGTGATAAATGTGAATTAGTAATAATTGCTATAAAACATTAAAGAATGATCACTGACTAAATGACCAATATGCAAGAAAAAAATTCCCATTAAAATCAGAAAAGTCTTCATGTTATGTTTTCCTTGATTCAATGGCAACTCTTCCCACATTTAAGTCTTACACAACTGGATAAAATAAAGGATGCTCAGTTTAATTAAATTTTAGATAAGCAAACTTACTGTTTACGTATATTCCAACTATTACATAGTAGGAGAAATCTGCTAGAAGTAGCATCTGCCGAGGTAATTTGGTGTCTTATGGGACAATCTGTATTTTTCTAAGTAGTTCCTTCCATTTTGGATCCTCCACCCTACCCACACCCTCACCCACCCCTACCTTTCTTTCATCTTTGGGAAGGAAGTCTTCCTTTGGCACATTCCCTTCCAACATCAACAGTAAACTGAAGTGGATGTTAGAGTTTTGCACTAGCTACAGGAATGTACTCCTGCATTTCCTCTGACTACTGTGTACCCTGACCAACAACCTACCCTCAGAAGGGCCTAGTTGGATGCTACCCAAGTTCCTACAAGCCAAACCAGTCAATACACAGGTCCCTTTTTTAACTAAGTTGAACTAAAGAGAACAAACCACTAAAAAGTACTACCTTTAGCAGATTTGCTTTCCTTACTTATAATGTGTGTTTTTTGTTTTTTGGGTGTTTTTTAAGGCCCTGACAAAATATCCCTTGTTAAGAGGAGTTTATTTGGATTGGACTAGTACTGCGGGTTTAAACTTGCTGAAAGTCTCCTAAGCAGTAATGCATTCTTTGAAGATAGATTTGCTTATCTATAAACAGGCAGGTTCCCCCAGAGACAAGAACATTTTGGGCATGTATTAGGTCATAGTTATGAAAACATTCAGTGTCAACAGATCTTTTACAGATGGAGATCAAATAGATGCTGTCGATTCTAACAGTAATAAGAGAACAAGAAAATCAAAGGGAACGCTCTCTTACCCCTCAACACTGATTTGAGGTTGAGCTTGGCTTGGCGGTGCAGGTCCTCAACACAGGGGGGTCTCGTGGTGGGAAGGAACACATTCTCCTGCTGGTGCCATGGAGCAGTGTAGTGCACTGCCCACCGACTCTCCTCATCTAGGTTGGAAACAGCTGCAGAAAGAAAGAAAGAAAAAGTCTAAGCTTCATTGGCTCCAAATGTGCTACATCTAGATAAGGCAGGTCTTGCTGTCTAAGCCAACCACAGTTTAGTTTGAGCAAGAAGATATGGGGCAAAAAATGTAATGAGATTTAATCTAGACTCCAGGGGTCTTAACAACCATTTCTGCCTGTTAGGGAAATGGCCCACATCCACCGCATTGTTTTATAGAACTGTCTGCTCAGTAAATGACATCCTAGCATTTGCACCTTCCTCCCATTACAGAACAATGATCAACAAAACTGATAGATGCCTTTCATTCCAATGTGACTCCACCACAGCAAATAGTATCATTTATTCACATTTACAATGCCACTGCTTCAAATACTTTTTGTCCTGCTAGAAACAAATTTCCTTCCAAAAGGTTAAGATCAAAATTTTCCCTTCTGTAGCATTATTTAAAAACACTGCTGCTATAATAAACCCAATTAAAAAGCTTCAAATAGCATAAAAATTCAGTTAAAACATTTAAATGGCATATTTAGTAGATGGGAAGATCTATTTGTACCATAAAATTTTCTCTCATTTCTTGCTTTCATTTTAAAAGTGCTCTTTAAAAATCACAAGCCACGGGCTGGGAATGTGGCTCAGTGGTAGAGTGTTTGCCTAACATGCACAAAGCCCTGAATTTGATTCCTCAGTACCACATAAGCAGAAGAGGCTGGAAGTGGCGCTGTGGCTCAAGTGGCAGAGTGCTAGCCTTGAACAAAAGAATTTCAGGGACAGTGCCCAGGCCCTGAGTTCAAGCCCCAGGACCAGCAAAACACACACACACACACACACACGCGCGCGCGCGCACGCACGCACGCACGCACGCGTGTGCTCCAAGTGTTAGTGGCTACTCAGGAGGCTGAGATCTAAGGCGCACAATTTGAGGCCAGCTTGGATAGGAAAAGTTTTATCTCCAGTTAACCTGCAAAAAGTCAGAAGTGGAGCTGTGGTTCAAGTGGTAGAGTGCCAGCCGTGCAAAAAAAAAAAAAAAGGAAAAACTTTAAGGCCTGATTTCAAGCCCAAGTTCCAGCACAAAAGCAAACAATAAACAAATGATTATAATGCAATTAACTTTTTCCAACACAATCCAATTCGATGCAATTTTCCTAACATGAAAGAGTCCAAAACATCAGAGAGGAAAATAACCCATAATCCTGAGATGAAGAAACAAGTCTAAAGCAATCCCTTAATCTTCCCTAGCTTGGGATCTCTATTTCATTTTTCTTGAAAACATATCTATACCTAAAATAAAACAGAGAGCACCTAAATTCATCAGCAACTTGTTAATACTTTCTATGTATCTGCCACATAACTCAGGCAAGCAAAAGACTAGAGAAATATACAACTTCAGGTCTAGGCCTTTATTTAAGGTGACAGTCTAAACTCCTGTAATTGCAGCAGGTATTGAAAGTGTGAGTCAGAGTCAATTCTTCAGTCTTCACTGAAAATGCCCTTTTCCTAACACAGAACATGTACCTGGGAACTTGATTTTATAATGTGTTCTCAAAGTAAAATGAAAAGGCATGTATGAACTGTAGAATCTATTTGAATGTGTTTAAAATAAACTACATATATCCCATAGCATAGTTACTAGGACTGTTATAAAGACCAAAATGGACTTAGACATAAAGTTCTTACTTATGAACTAACTCATGTAAAGCAGTGTTGGGGACAGTGATCAGATTCTGAAGGAGCTCCTAACTTGGGAGCCATCACTAAGAAAGACCTGGGCCTTTCTCAGTCCCTCTTGCCATTCCCCCCTACCCCTTCCCCCTACCCTCCCAACAAGCCATCTCATTAAACCATGCTTCCTTTCACTTCCACACATTAAACTCCTATGACTCTGAAAAGATTTCTAAAAAGATTCTACCTTCTCCATAAATTGCTAAATAGGAGATAAATACAGACAACTAGACATTAAGTTAAAAATAGAAAGGCCCTATCTGCTTTCTGATTATAATTTTTGTAAAAACAACAAAGAAACTTGGCGGCTACTATGCCACATACTTTCCTGCCAAACAAGTGTTTTTCATGGTGCTTTCTGACATCAACTTTAATATATAAAAATGCAAATGATCTGACATGGATCAAAGAGTATTCAAGGCCCCCCTCCCAAGCACATCTAGAGTTCATTATAATGTTGTAGGATAATATCCTGTTAGCTGAAATATTTCATTTCCACACTTTATAGTTAAAAACGGAAACTTTCCCTCCTTGACAATTACAAATCAAAACAAGTCATGGCATCTGAGCTTGGGTATCACACCATCAGCCCTGTGCAGGCACCAACTGGTTCCTCTGAAAGAGTAGCTGTCTCTTCCCCAGCGGACCTTGCTTTTGCCAGGGCAGATTTTTATCAGTCCCTCCAAAGACAGCCTTGGAGCTAAAGAGACACAGAAAGTGAGCCCAGAGGGCTGTTCTTTGTTGCTTTCTCCAAAGCTCCATTTGTCAGAGAGCCTACCCCTGCACACATTTATCCAAGGGTAAATCACTGATCCAAAAACTAAACTAAGCTAAACGGAAATAAACCAATAAGCACGTTAAAAACAAAAGCCATGCCACTGTTAAAAATTATATCCTTAACAGAATGAAAAAGTACCTAGATTAACAAAATTTAAACCCATAGAAGGTGTACCATGAAGCTAGACCACAAAAGCTCAGTACTTTACAACAATCACTAAGCAGCCCTGACAGTCTGTCCTCCAGCTCTTAAGTTCCCCAGGGAGCTTTGGGGCATCCTCTCCACCAGAAGTATGTGGCATATTGCAAGAACGAACGTTGCTATACCTCGGCTGCAGAATAAGAAACGACTCACTGTACAGAGAATAAGAAACTACACACTCTATATCAAAGCAAACAAAGTCAGCACAAAACGGATTGTTTTTGCCCTTTACTTTGGAGAAGTACAAGAGTAAAGTCACTTTAAATCCTACCATAAATAAATAAGACATGCTAAGAACACATAATACTCTCCTAGAGTTACAAAAGTTTGAGGTATTTCTACAACCAAGTGGGCAGAGTGGTAAGTTTTTCTCAAGCCAATTACACTTCTGCACACTAAGTCCGTCACTCTAAAGGCTGAAGGGGCACAGAACACACACACACACACACACACAATATAAGTGGGGGAGAAAAGGAACTACTTACTTTTCTTCTTAAAAAGTTTAATGAAGGACTTAATCTTTGCATTAATGAACACCACCATTTCTAGGACAGCTACATAAGGACTTAGAAATAAATTTAAGTCACATTAAAAGCTCCGTCCAGCAGGCAAGTGGCAAGTTGAGCTCTTCCTCTTAACTCCCTTCAGGTCTTGTATCCATGGACATCAGCCCGGGCTACAGGAACTCTAAGGTTGAGTTTATTGTCAGGTGGTTGCAAACCATTAACAATCCTTGAACCTGAAAAACTCCCAGTGAAACCTAATCTTCAAGGCTTGGCCCAGCCAGTGACAGCAGGCTGGGAAAGAGAAAGCCAATCACGGTCCTCATTTGCATGAGCGCCACATCAGGCTTTCTGCCTCAGTGCTCATTCATTCCATTTTTCTCTTCACAAATCACAAGTTTTCTCTTCTCTGGAGTGCACAAAAATACTGCAGATTTTCCTCTACACAAGTCAAGATGAAACAAATGTGTTCCCCATTCTCACTAGGCTACTGTGAATATCCAGAGCTTTTTTCAGGAGCCAGTAAGTCTGACAGCAATTCTGTGTTGATTCTTTGACTCTCCTTAATTCTGGGTCTATAGGAAGTGAATCGGAACGGGATGGGGGGTGGAGGGGAGGAGAACCAAACCATTGTTACATGACCACTCCCTCCGGCTCTGCCTTTGACACCAAAGGAACATTTGTAGAAATAAAACTTCAGAAACTCTAAGGAGTTGAGAGTGGTGATTTAGTTGCTTTTTTATGCAAATGAGAGTTCCTGTCTCCTTACTCTTTGCTAGAGATTAGAAATCAGCACTGTGTGGACCAAAGTGTGCTCCATTTGTGTCTAGCTTCCACAACTCTAGTTAAAGAAGAGAAACAAAAGCAAACACAAAGAACACAACTTTCCCACCCCAAATGAAAAATGAATCACTTTAACTTTTACTTTGAATGTAATTATCACCTAAGCACCTCGTTTTAGCAATTCCACAACAGCTCCTCCGTGTGGCAGTCTTAAATAAATATTATTTTGGTTACTTTTCAACTTAAATATATTCTACTGAGTTTTGGCTTCTTTGCCTATTTGCACTGTCCACAGAGAACTAAGGGAAGACAAATACTAATTGGCAAATCAGAAATGGTGTATAAGTAAGCACTGGAAAAATAAACTCCAGAAGGAAAGCAACAGGAGCAAAAAAAAAAAAAAAATCACAACCAGTACAGATCAGGAAATTTGAAAGAGGACAAAGAAAAAGTCTCACATCTCTCTCCAGCTCACTTCATGGCAAAGCCCTTTTTGAAACAATTTAGAGGCCCTCTTATTTCATAGCTTTGGGCCAGACTTGTAACTGGATGGAAAAATGTAATAATCCACTAATTCAAAACATTTAGTTCATAACAAAGGCTTTTAGTCAAAGAATAGAATTTATATAAGGGGCTCCCTCTAGGGACAGCTTTGGAATGATGCCTTCTCAAATCTTTTTTATTCCCTTAACCTTATTTTTTGAAACAAAAGGAAACAAACATATGAAAAAGAAAATGCACACTCATTAGTACACATATCATCACGGATTTCCAACTTGTACTCTTTCACTCTACGTAGTTTTACTTCAAAGTAATTAAAATGCTAGATGGCAAATGAGTAACAACTAAGACTATAAATCAGATTATATTGCTGCCTTAAACTGTGAGCAAAGTTCCCCTTGGGAAAACAAATTTATCATCAAGAGTGACCTCACTCAGCTCACTGCATTAGAGACAGGTAGAGTTCTGGGCAGCAATACCCTATTCACAATCCACCAGCTTGAAGTTAAGTGTCACCATGCACACATTTCCAATTGAAAACAAAAACTGCTCTGTTGAAAAAACAAATCCTGAATATGCTCTTTACTACAAAGCAAACAGCTTTTCATGTATACAAAATGACAGGGAATATGCATGCATTCATTACAAAGGTAAATACTGAGCACCTACTAAGTATACTCTTCCATTCATCTAAGACATATCAGATGAGATACTGACCTCAGAGAGCTTACATTATTTGACAATAAACTATAAGTGTATGGAAAATTAGCCAGTGTGAGCAAAAATGGCAATCCTGCCCAAAGCTATTTACATATTCAATGCAATACCTATAAAAAATGCAACAACACTCTTCAGTGATATAGAGGAAGCAATCCAAAGATTCATGTGGAATAATACAAGACCCCGAACAGCAAAAACAATCCTTAGCAGGAAGAACAGCACTGGAAGAATATCAACACCAAACTTCAAACTCTATTAAAAAAAATAACTTGGTACTAATTAGCAAAGAATAGGCCTGGGAACCAATGGAAGAGAAGACACAGAAATGAACCCACCATCCTATAGCCACCTAATATTTGATAAGAGACCCAAAAACACAGGATGGAAGAAAAACAGCTTCTTCAACAAATAGTGATGGTAGAATTGGCTAAACACATGTAGAAAACTGAAGTTAGATCCTTATATATCACCCTACACCAGAATCAATTTCACATGGATCAAAGACCTCAATGTAAGGCCTGATACCATGACAATATTACAAGAAGGAACAAGGGAAACACTAGGGCTCCTTGGCACAGGTGGAAACTCCCTAAGTAAAGATCCAAAATCACAACAAATCAAAGACTAGATACAAGCTGAAGAGTTTCTGCATGGCAAAGGACATGGCTAGCAAGATAAATAGAAAGCCCACAGAATGAGAGAAGATCTTTACTAGCTATGCATCAGACAAGGGCCTCTTATCTAAAACCTCAAAAAATTAAACCTCCAAAAAAACAAATTGTCAAAGACACAACAACCCAATTAATAAAGGGCCTAAAGACTTAAAGAGAGACTTTTCAGAAGAAGTAAAAATGACCAATAGACACATGAAGAAATGTTCAACATCTCTGGCCATAAAAGAAATGCAAACCAAAATAAAACCCCAGTTTTAATGGCTATCATCAAGAAAACTAACAGGGGCTGGGAAGGTGGCTCAGTGGTAGAGCTTGCCTTGAATGAATGAGGCCCTGGGTTCGATTCCTCAGCACCACATAAGCAGGGGAAAAAAAAGCCGGAAAGTGGCCCTGTGGCTCAAGTAGTAGAGCGCTAGCCTTGAGGTGAAGAGTTGAGGGACAGCTCCCAGGCCCAGAGTTCAGGCCCCATGACCAGACCATTTCCCCTCCCCCCCCAGAAAAAGAAAACTAACAGTAACAGATGCAGGCAGGGATACACTGTTGGTGGGAATATAAATTTGTTCAATCACTCTGGAAACCAGTATGGAGGTTCAACAAAAGACTAGACATAGAACGCCCCTATGACCCAGCAATTTCACTCCTGGGCATTTATCCAATTGACTACAAACCAGGGCACACTAAAGGACACTAAAGGCCATATTATGTATATATGCATATGTATATGTGTATATGCATATACATATATATACATACATATACACACATAATTGAACAGGTTAGGCTCAGGCAGCATGCTGGTCGGGTCTTACTGTATTAAATAGTAATCTGGGTGGTCCTTACCAAAATAGGCAGATACAAGCCAACACATGAAGGAAATGGTGGCAATAAAATAAAACTGCATAATGACTCCCACGGGCTCTCATTTTCTCATTCATGTGTGTCAGGTTGTGAGACACATCTAGACTATTTAGAAACACTTTTTTTTTCCCTATTAGAAAATGAACGATTGTAAGAGTCATTTATAGAACAATTTCTTTTCTCCCTTAAGACTCAATGTGATAGTTAAGTGTCCTGAGGAGTGGTAGACAATGCCACTGTTTGTTTGCACACCAGGCTGGGTACATGTAGGGGCAGGAGGCATGCATCCAGTCCTATGTCCCAGGCCCCTCATCCTCTATGTATGGTTCCAAGCTGCCATGTGCCTCTGTACAGTCCAAGTATACAGTAATAAACCACATAAATTATCACACTTGTTAATTGTGCTATATAATCAGTGTGTTTGAGAGAGCTTTTAGTTGTAAAGTTTCTATCCTCTGTATGAACCTAAAAACAAGTTATCATGTAACTTGCATGCCTTCCTGACATGGTTAAGGAAGCATCCTGTATTTTTAAGTAGTATTTTTCCTGTTTTCAACAGGAAATATGTGATTCCATACCATTTCCTATTTCAGTTTTTCAGCAACATAGCAATTATAGAAGGGGAAAAATATCCTGTTTCCCAGACCTGGGAAACAACTGTACATAATCACGAAGAACCCAACTCTGAAGCCACGCCCCTGGGGCCTACGTCACTAGTTACTAAGTTCAGCAGTAAAATGGGCATGATAACAGTATTTCCAACACAAGGTTATTGAGACAACTTGAAGCATTACTATTCATAAAGTCTTCAAACAACATGCTATGTAGTAAGCATAGATGTTTAATAATCATATGAATAAAAGCCTAAAACATGACTAATCAACCTCAAGTTTAAAAACAGCCATGCTTTTATGGAAGGGAATTAGCTTTGCTAACACTACCAACCACCTCTCCACCTCTCTCCAATGAAGTTATCAACCCAGTGAATGACTGCTCAGCCCACTGCCTCGGGTCTGTACACACACACACATCATCTTTCCCTGCTCCTAAAATTGAATAAGCTTTTCAATGGGAACCAGAGAAATTCTAACCAGCACCAATGGTCTTTTCCTCCCTCTTCATCTTATCTTTTCAATCATTCTTCTAACAAAACCCTTCCTCAAAGACGCCATACCCGCTAATTCTTTTCCTAACATCTTATTGGTCTTCTCCAGATTCCAGCAAACTCTGACCAAGCTTCAGATATCCAGTCCTTCAGGCTGGGGAGTGACTCACTGGTAGAGTACCTGCCTATCATTTACAGGCCTTATTTGATTCAGCACCATAAAAGACTTTATTGTCCCTTGAAACTTGAATGATTTTTGTGACCATAAGGCAGAAGACAGCAAATAATAGCACTTGGACCAAATCCATAGAGTTTCCTTTTAAGTGGCCGAGAGAAAAATAGAGTAATATTTCATAATGTGGAAATTATATGAAATTCAAATTTCTGTGACAAAGTTAT